CAATATAATTTGACTATACAATCCATGTAACGTCTGAAACTTATCTTCTGATTTATACACCGATAAAGTCTTCCATGTCTTCTGACGGTTGAATGAAACCACATATATAGGCTTGAGTTTTTACTAACGTTTCGGCCACCTTGGTGGGCTTTTTCAAAGTACAGATCAAAAAAGTTTCAGTGAAAGTATATTTTATATTTATCTTCCAGGTGTCCGTTCATTTATACTAAGTGACATATAAATCCGAACACCCAGTTTAAATGGTTTTATTTTAATAAAATTTTGTATAAGTACTTAATGAAGCATAATAAGTAAATGATAAAAATTTCAAAATGATTGCACTGCTTCAAAGCCCTTTGACCTTTAATAATGTGTGGATGCACCCTGATGTGCTACGCATTCTCCAACGCGCCTAGGCATGCTTCTGTTCAGGTGGTCAATGTCCTCCTGTGATATCTCATTCCAGGCAACCACCAACTCCTCTCGAAGTGCTTCTAGAGTCTGAGGAGGACGTTGCAAATTGCGCAATCTCCTACCCATCATATCCGATACGTGCTCAATTGGGAATAAGTCGGGAGATCTTGGTGGCCATGGTAACAATGTGACATCATTATGTTGAAAGAAGTCTATTGCGACTCTTGCAACATGTTTTCGGGCATTATCTTGTTGGAAAGTTGGATCTGCCAGGGTGTCAAGATAGGGTAAAAGATGGGGTTCTAGAACTTCGTGGATATAACGCTGCGCGTTCATGTTACCTCTGATGAAGATTAAAGGTGACCTGGAACCATAAGCTATAGCACCCCAAACCATAACTCCAACAGTGTGATGAACATGTCTTTCAACAAAAAACTGTGGATTCCTCCTTTCACCACGTCGCCTTCTAACCCTGGCACGACCATCGTGCATGCCTAAACAAATCGAGACTCGTCACTAAATACAATACTGTTCCATTCCTGATCCCAGAGTGACCGTTGTCTGCACCACTCAAGGCGATTACGTCGGTGTTCTCGAGTTAAAGGGAGGAACCCAGTGTGGCCGGTATGAAAACAAGCCAAAACTTCTCATTCGTCGGTAAACACTTCGCATGCCAATAGGTCTTCCGTGTTCTGCAAACCATTCATTTGCAATGGACCTGGTAGTGGAGAAACGGTCCCTTAAGGCCAATAATCTTAGGGGGCGATCTTCACGGTCTGTTGTTCTACGGCGGCGTCCAGTGCCCCTAGCTCTTTGCGTACGGCCTTCTCGAAGCCATGCCTGACAACACCTAACCACAGTGTCTACACTTCTTTGCACTCTAACTGCAATTGCCCGAAAAGAAAGTCCAGCTTCCCGAAGTCCCACTATACGGCCCCTATCAAACTCACTAAGTTGACGAAATCGTACAGGTCTCAGTACTCTAGGCATCGTAACCGATCGTAAAGGATGTCAAGAACTAAAATCCGCCAACGTTGATTCTTTACTGCGGCTGAAATATTCATTTTTAGAGCGTTAGTGAATTGAAAAAAAAGCAGTATAAAAATCGGAATGTCCAACTGATAAGGCTGAAAATTTTTTCACTTGTTATTTACAGTAAGATAAATACATTCACCAACTTTTATTAAAATAAAACCATTTAAACTGGGTGTTCGGATTTATATGTCACTTAGTATATTTTGATCGCTACTTTACAATATGTTCTAACAACGGCCTGCATGGTAGTAATCATTACATTCATTTTAAAATGGTTGATCGTGGCATGCAGTTATTGCAATACACTGTATAGTAGAGGCAAATAAATATAAGCATACAGTGCTTTTCAAAAAGGTCTCCTCTATTTATTTTTTGTACTATAATAAAATTCGAGGTGATAAAATCGAATTGAATTTTGAGATGAAAGCTGGGCTCCATCTTGGAACATTTATTTTAGTAGAGCGGAGGGCATGTGGTATCTCATTTTGATGATAAGTTGTTGGGTTATAAGGTACTCAACGTACACAAAGGCTCAACTGTAACAACCTCCCAACCTATAATTTTGAAAGGTGGTGATTTTATATTCCAACGTATAAAGTTACCATACCACCCCAATTCCATTCAAAAAATATTTGAAAATAGCGCCCAGTCGCCACCTTGAAAAGTCATAATGCTACCTTTACGCTAAAATAGAGTATTCATGAATCAATTCCGTTGCCCCGAATTGCAGCTTGCTAACTTGGCCCGTTTGAAAAATAAATAGAAGAATTGTATCTTGTAGCAGTGTCACGTCTTTTTATATGAACTTGAAAATGGCCACCTTGATGGCCGAAACATTAGTTAACTATCATCGTTATTTAATTGCCAGAACACATACATTACATTTAATGTCAAACTGCTAACGTCAAACTGCTAATGTCAAACTGCTAACGTAAGATAAGTTAAAGAAGAATATGATCACATTCCAGGAACGTCTTTTGCCTTGTAGTTCCCAAAAAGCGGAAACTACATACTTGAAGGTGGCAAATATTGAGGTTCAGAACTTTGGAATCAAACGCAATTTTCAGTCGAAAATAAGGGAATAATAATAAATAATGATCATAAACGGCTTTATTGGCGGAGTTTAGCACAGCTTTTCTTACACTAAACCTTTCTAAATACTAAATAAAGCTTAATGCTAATTTGACATACAAATATAGTATTTTATATATAAAGTAAACTATTGTATGTCTATGAATCTGACTAAAATAATAAAATAATGGTAATGGATCACAGGGCATTTATTCATTCATCTTATGCTGAATTCCTAGAAGATGTTGTCTGAGATGCAGTTTGAAACGGATGTTATTAGTATTTGATGTATCGATATTCCTGCTATAGATGTTAAAGAGAGACACTGCATGATACGTGAAAGATCTATAAAAGAGTCATGTTACATACATAGGCATTGTAAAATGGTTTTGATGTCTTATATTGACATTATGTATACTTGACCTAGGGACCAGCTTTTCTACTAAATATACAGGATTCTTAGAATATAATACACGACTCAATGTTGTTAGGTGAAAATATTTGAACAGAGAATTGATATTAAGCCATTGTAAAAGCCTGAAACTATTAGATATGCGGTCAAATTTACGTAAGTTACAGACAAAACGGCAACAGTTATTCTGCAATCTCTGCAGGCGCATTTGAGTCGAATAGTTCAGGCTTGGATAAAAAACTATCAAACCGTAACTGATAATTGATAGCATTAAACTTTCAGCCAGGTTTTTCTGCGTCTTGAAAATAATAATGTACTTATTGGCATACAGTACCATCAGTTTCAAATAACACCTCTGATATATTGTTTTAATGTGTTGTTGGTAACGTAACTGGTCATCTATGATCAAACCAAGTATCTTACAGCTAGTTGAAAAATAAAGTTTCGTTTTATCAGGATTTAGTTTCAAATTGTGTTCTTTACAATTGTCAGATACTATTCGTAAGTCAGTTTTGATTAAATCATTTGCCTGTTCCACAAGAGATGATTCAAAATGAAACAGAAGCTGCGTGTCATCAGCATAAGATTGACTGAGTGAGTACTGTACGGACTTCAAGATATCAGCTGTGTATATAATGAATAACAACGGTCCTAAAACAGAACCTTGAGGAACTCCTGATGTTATTGTTGTTATCTCAGATATTTTGTTATGCAGAATAACGCTTTGCTTACGAAGACTTAAGTAATTGCCTTTGCAGCATCTATTCATGTAGGGCTCGCATACTAAGATGGCAATCTGCAGTACGCTCAACCCCTATGCACACCCGATATTTACGCCCTGTATGGCAGATCCCATGTGATACCTGTGACGTATTCAAGAGGAAAGCATGGCCGCCTATTGTCGCGCCTTCCATCAGCCTCTATTGGTTGGGGTGCGTACAGCGAAAACCACCATCTACGCACATACGCATTTAAAGGGTGCAGGGTCGGACCTTTACACACCCTATAAAGTGTGAAAAAGCTGGTACCTGGGATTAGGGATAACTTTTTAAAAAAATATTGCTTGTGACTACTACGAGCACGATTTTATTGCAATTAAAACACTCAAAGCTCAAATAAGGCAATTCGAGAAACGCACTAGTATCAACCCCTACATCCGTAGCAGGAGACTATAATTTCCTGGCGTCTCCAAATGGGATTCTGCTTCTATGGAACAAACAAGTGTTGTCCACCACACAGATATGCGTGACATGCACTCAGGGAAGCACAAGTCCTCACCAGGCTACCAACTCTGACGTGCTACGCAAAAGTTGCATAAACTAAATACAGGCTGCACGGGATCTGTTTTGCTTTCCGTTTTTTGTGATCATAACCAACCATATCCAACGTTGTTCATACTTTTTAGCAATCATCAGTTATACTGTTATATTGTACTCAGAAAATGGAAAGCAAATAAGCGACTATGGGCCTACTGAACAAGTCGGTATCGTGTCACCTCTTTACACACTACAATATTGTTTTTTAGTGGATCCATATTGCTTGTTTGCTTTCCGCGGTTTGTGTCCAATAACAAGACCTATACCGTACTCATGATTCCTAAAAAACAACAACAACAACAAACATTCTGTTGGTTATGTTCACAAAGACGGAAAGCAATCCTACTCGGCATGCATACCATGGCTTCATAATTTTTTTTTAAACCTAGTAGGTACTAATTGAATGTGTAGAAGGCTCTTAGTCTTCATGAAAATATACTTTTTCAAAAAACTCTAAATGCTAGATAAACATTGGCAAGAGACTCGAAAAGTGGTTTTGTGGACTATTTTAAGACTATTTCGTCCTTTGATAAGTTGGGAGCACGTTTTCTTTCCAAGAAGTAGTGATTTTTGCAAAAAAAAATATTAACGAAAAACACATGTAAAACTAATAAACAAAAACTGTAGATCAAATGGAAGACTATGAGCCGTATTCATAAAAGAGAAGCATATCCTCGGAAGCATAAGGCCTTGCTTCGGAGAAAAAGGTAGAAGTATAAGTATATCCTTGTTGTCATATTCATAATGATTACCTCATACTCGCGAGGATATCCTCCAAGAAGAAGTAAAAGGTTGACTGGTATTTGTATCTTGAGCGACATGTCCTGACTTGTTCCAGCTTGTAGTTGACGTGGGAGTTCGTTCACTCAGCATCGCTGACAGTTGTACTCCAGAGCTTACACAGACCGTTCCGTATTTTTACTGGATACAGTTTTTTATCAAATTAATAAGCATGTCTTCCTCAAGTGATGAGGAAACTATAGAAAATAATGGCAACGACCTGCAGTTCATCGCAGATGAAATTGCCATTGCTCCCATTATTTTGAAAAAGTCACAAGTTCCAAAAATAAAAATGAGAAACGACGATGCCTTGAAGAAGATGTTGAAAAAATACAAATCAACATTCGGTAAACCATTAGATACTAAGGCTTTAAAAAAAAATGGACAACATGGAATCAAGATTGAAGAAAAAAGCAGACCTGAAAAAAACTGGTAATAAAACAATTAAATTGTTAGATTGGGAAAGAAAGTTGCTGAAAGCTATGGAACCTAGCTGTAATCCTACAATTGGGAAAATTAGAGGTGCCATTCAGGTTGGTAGTGTTCAAGAAGAAGGAAGTAAACTATATACCGAGCGCAGTAAGAAAACAGTTAGTATTACAGTGCCAGCAATTCAGAAGACATTGCTACCAAAAAGAAAATTAGTAACAGAGAAATACGAAACTGAGGAAACCAAAGGGTTAACTGCAAAAGAACTGCAACGTCTAGTGTAGTTTTTGAAATGCTATATAAAGTTTACATTATTCTAGTGGAAGATATGAACATTCCGAGAGTTTCTGGATATAACACAATAATAAATGAACCTAGTATGTTTGATAGCGTTTGGTAGTCTGTGATAAGAATTTTGGACCGCAGTATCCAATCAGAGGTTAATGATTTTGAAGAGTTTTTGTCAATTAAAGAGCTCAACATATATTTTTTTTGTTGATAAAAACGTGTTCGAAAATGAGCATCGTTTTGAATCTTTAACGAATAAAATAGTACAAGAATCCCACCAAGAATGCTTGTATCATATTGACGGAACTTATAGATGGAAATACAAAACAGCAGCAAATGGTTGCCGACACCACGCAAGAAGTTCAGGCCGGAAAGTAAGTATGTTCTCTGTTTCTAACGAGCTTCCAAAAATGTTTATTTTCTTCATCAGGAGATACTGAAAAGAATGTTGCATGACAATTAAAATCCATAACGAAATCCAAAAAAACTTCTACAAACCTTGAAATCCCCTTCAGAGGCAAAAACTAAAAAAAGGGAGATAAGTTATGAATTAACGAACGCATCTATGATGCACAGGTCACAAAATAAGATATTGATCAATATGAACCACTTCATGTGTAGACAACTTTAAAAAATCAAGTTTTATCCATAAATATTAGGTGGAGTAATTTCAACCTGAATGGCGGTTGCTCATACAATCGACAAGTCGGCGTACCACCGGTTAAACCGTTAAACAATGAATTTTTAAGATAGAGTGGGAAACAAAGATTACGTATGCCTGATTTTTTTTTTGTTGCAAGATGGAATGGTAAATAGCCAATTATTGGGCTTATGAACATATTGGAAACCATGGAAATATACATTAAAATCATGCAAAATGAAGCTGCCATTCTCACACAAACTTGACAATCAATTTTATACAATAAGGGTGACGCAAAATATTTTTTTATGGAAAATATGTGAATAAGAGGTTGAAACGACTATAAATTGTCATGTCGATGTGTTATACGATAAAATCAAGGTTCACTAGAAGTTTTACGTACTCCAATTCACGTAATTGATGTTATAGTTCATGATGCTCTGTGACTATCTAAGAGCTTGACTACCTACTATGTTGAAACAAAAAACTTTCTTTGATTAGTTTTTTTTTGTCCTTGATGAACTTTGATATACTTTACGTTAAATACATTTAAATGAAAGGAAAAGAGGATCATTCTTCTCTACTTGGCTCAATAAAACAATTCAAAGATTTAACTCTTCTACAAAACCTTATCGACCTTTCCACAAATGCTTGAGTTTTTCTAAGGCCTTTTGGAGAATATTGTCCTAGTACTGCCCTGCGGGGGTGCAGTTGCACCGACATTGCCCATACCATACAAGACCTCTCATTTTGCCAGATGCGGCGTTTTTACCTTCGCCGCAATCGGATATCGGATAACAGTATAATTTCATACACATAGTAGGGCCATGAAGGTCTGGCCCAGAGCCGCCTGCAATCGCTATTTGTTGGTTTGCGATTGTCTTGCGCTTTGTTCATAGTGCAGCGGTTTCAAAGGTAACTCGATACTGATGATGGGTATGGCCGATGGATGCACTATGGGTTCGAAACAAGGCAGGCATTGCTAAACGACGGGACTTTGGCGATACCCCACCCGTGCGGTTACATTGTGATTAGGAAGTGGGATTGGATGTAGGTATTGCGGTTTATTGATGTCGTATTCATTTGTTACATATAGGATGCCCGATATATACAAGAGTGAGCGGTTTGAGTCCACTTGATGGCAGAGATATCGAAAACACTTTTTAATACATGTGTCCTATCTCAAGCATCCGAAGAAATTAAAAGTACATAACATACATTGGGATAAGAACGTATTCTTTTTATATTTCTATTGTAGTTTATAAGTAAATAAATATGTTTATTGTATATTAACAAATGCCTCCATTCCCATTTTTCAGGTGTCAAATACGATCGTCCAAATAAATGAATGATATGAGGCTGCTAGGTACGGTCTGGTACACTGTAAATGGATATTCGGAAGTATCGGAGACTTAGGGTGGCTTTCACAATTTAACAAACCATTATTCTGCACCAATAGGGTACGAGTACCAAACAGTCCATTAATTATACCCAATCAGCCTCAAGATCTCTCCGTCAAATTTTTGGCAGCAAATAGCATCAAAGTATTCAAAACAAAACACTGTAAAATATGAAGTGACAGCTTGCCATTGAAATCTTTTCAGTTTATTAAATATTATGAAATTATGTAAAACTGAGCCAAAATTTTTAAAAATGCTTGATGTCTGAATAAAATCTATTTTTTCAGATTAGCTGAAGGTTTTTCCATGTTTACTGCAACTTTTGTAATCCATATGTGATTATATCACCTACTGTGTGCTTATAGTTTATCCTATATTTGCAAACTTGCACTTCCAAACCCTTACATGAAAAAGCCTTTTCACTCAAATTTTTGTTAGGTGTTGCAGTTCAACACATTCATACACTTCTTTCCAATTCCTCAACGATATTTTAACCCCACTGGTCCGAAACTGTTCAACAGTTTCAACATTCATACATACAATTGCAGTTGGAGGTTTTTGTTTTAATTTCAGTGTATAATCAGTCGCACCATCGGTGATGGTACATTCAACATAAACACGTTTTTAGGGGTTCGTGCAGATTTAACGCGTACACGACAGTGTAATATGTACTTCTTCACAAAAAAATCTTGGAGGGAGCACTTTTATACGGAAATTTGTTGTTAAAAAATTCCATTTTTCACACATAACGAAGCATAGAATACAGTGACGTTCGAGAAGGAGAATAGACCAATGGAGATCGGAATTGACATTTGAAATTACTGTCTCATAATGTTAGTGATGGGAGAATACATTTGCGATCAGTGGAATATATTGGAACGGTTAAAAAATATGAATTGAATCGTTTTTACGTTATCTCGACTGAAAGACTGGAATATCTGCTCTGTTTCTGTATATATATTTTTTGTGGTATTGTTGTATAAAGTAGTTGGTTCACGAACTAGTTCCTAGAACTGAACGCAACTTAATGAAACGAACTGGAAAGCACATAACTTTTTCAAGTAATCCAAGAAGGGACAAATTGTCATTTCATCACACTAGTGATGGAGAATCGAAAGCTTGAGATTCGCTTTGCTTCTGTGGCTCAGAGATATAGTGTTTTCTTCTGATAAAACTAGCGCAGTTTTTGTGTTCAAAATACTCTACTTTAGTGAATACCTTTGATCCCAAAGTTGCTCCCATAACAATATTAAACAACTCTCATGTCGTGTCGCGTATTTCGAAACGACGTCAAGGGCCGGCAGGGGAAAATCTTTCTCTGAGAACTGAAAATCAGTAAACGTGCTGTTTTCAGTCTATTTTATTCTATCCCTTGGGGACGCACAGAATGGAGAAAAGACTACAGTGCTCAGTGGCCACTCAGCGGCTCAGTGCTTGTCTGTAATGATAATATTCAAATACTACTAAACACCTGAATAGCTTTCTGGCCTTTCAATTTCGAAGCTACCAGTCCTCGCTTAGAGATGGTAGCACAGTTAAGGATAGACTCGGGGTATACGGTTACGGATGTTTATGATTCCTCTCGATATCGATATATCGTCATGAAACCATCGATGCGTAAAGATCGATGTTCTACGTCCGATGTATCGATGTTTTCGATACATCAGTGTCTCGTCTATCGTCGCCACCCCTATATTGTATCCCCACCAGTCACCAGTCAAAAACCTTTACCACCAATATTTTATCACTATTTATAATTCTTTTTAGCTCTTATTGTTCAGTAATTACTAATAATTTTAGCTCTATGTCTACAGTAATTGCATTATGCACCTCGGAGATGTAGGGATTAACATGTTTTACACATATCGGTGTTTTAGGATGGGGACGACATACTGTTTTGATTGCTTTGAACAAATTAATTAACCCATGAATTTATAACAAATGATTACTATTATGATGTAAAGAGAGATGAGGAATTGTTGGAATACATTTCATATCCTATTTTCTTGCAAATCCGCACAATTCAACAGGTATGTGTAGCTATAATGATCACATATACACACATTATTTTGAACTTAACAAATTTCGAGATTGCCATGAATTAACAAACGACCAAACCTGCTGCCAAATTTAACAGCTAGAAAATCGACCTATTATTTCTCCCATTCCCATTCGCTGAGGGGATAACGGATGGTCAAATGTACACCTATAACATAAATCAAAATACATGAAAGTTGTCCTGTTTTCTCTGTACAAAAGCATCTTGTTGGAATCAAAAAGTGGTCTTGTTTATAAAACAGTCGAATTTTCATGATTTTGTTCAACATTTTAATAGAAATCACTGATATTCTGAGACCTTTGACAGCTTCCGTCGAATTGCATTGCATAATAATAATGTTGGTGAAATCGGCCCCTATTGTTGAAAGAATCTAACGCATAACTCATTCAAGCCGGTGCTGCA